TTTGCGCGGCTCGGGTGCACTTGGACAAGTCCAACATGATGGTAGTTTGGGTAGTTTGTCAAGAAGGCCAACAAATAAGGACCATTGGAAGGGAGACACAATGCCGTTCACGTAGAACTGGATGTTAGAGTTCATTAGCAATTCTGAAGGGGGTGACGATAAATGCTGCTTATAGCCACTGCTGAGTCGTTTTGCACCCTTCAGCAGTATATCGCATTATCCATCATTATCCAGTTTTTGTCTGTGATACTACTTGAGAGCTCAGATAATTTGTATGCAGAAAGAGAAGCGACGATTTGAAGAGTTGGATGGCCGTATACAAATAGCCAAGCAACATCGGGCGGGACAGGCTGAGTGTAAGGGATTCAAAGGGGAACCCGTGAAAAGCCAAGGGCTAAACTCTGCAAAATGGTGCCTTGCATCGATATATAGCTTTCAACATGTTGAAGAAACCATGTGGCTATATGTGGCTCCTTTTTGGATTTGTAGGAGGCGGAAGCGGCTCGCTTGGAGGCTGGAATGCTGTGATAAAGACCTGAACCTTTGAAAATGGGTTTGATGCAGCTTGGGTTGGAAGGCTCGCCAGACGCTGATCCAAGCAGCTCAGAGTGGACGTTTGCTCACGGCGCTGCAAGAAGCTACTGCTGCAAAGGCCACACATTTGTTTGCGTGGAATCCTTTCGGCCGCGACCAGACAAACTGCGTGCCGTAACATTGTTGTCAAATCCAGTGGGTGGCATGAAAGTGGAGAATCAAACAGTGCCAAGAACACAAGGTGGAATGTGACAAATGTGAGGGAAGGGACAGGAGAGGAAGATGAAAGGGGAAGAAGGAACGGGAAAGAAAAGGAGGACGATAAGAGAGAGAAGGACAGACAAGGCAGAAATGGAGATTTGTACAACACCCGCAGCAAATGTCACATTCTTGTGGGTCTGTGAAGGGGACTGACTGACCCAGAAAGTTTCATGTGCCTCCGACGCAACTAGGAGCAAGGACGCTACTAGGGGCTCCTGGCATCGCTACTAGGAGCATTCTTACTAGTAGCCAAGAGACGGGTTTGAGAACCGAGTTCGAAGAAGAAGGAGTGGCTGTGTGTTAGCAAAAAACAGAGTGCAGACAAGCTAGTCACCACCGGTCCAACAAACGTCGTCCAGTCAAATCATTTCAGGACGTAGACGCATAGACATTTTCTTGGCTGTTTGTGGGAGTCTTTTTGGAAGTGAGAAGACGCGGACTTGCTATTAGGTCGGAGGCCATTGCTATTGGGTTTTTCGAAAAGAACCAACAAATCAAGACTCCCGTGGTGGACACAATTGAATGTGGTGATACTCGGATCATACCGCGAAGAAGCTGTTTTTAATGTTATTGTTCCGATGTAAACAGTGTGACAATGCAATTTGTCGTGCAAGTTGTCTTTTGAGTCTACACTGCTGCCTTTGGCTAACACGGATCTAGAACACCTCCATCCTGGTATCCCCCTATTGACACATCAGGCCATCCACTGTCCAAATGTGCCGGTGAGCTGGTGAGAGGTGCATTTTATATTCCTTTCATCAACCGTTTATCTGCCATCCCAACAAGAGATCCTTTGGTTTCGCTTGTGCTGCTGGGCCGTGCTATTCTCCGTCCAGCAAGCAAGATGGTGAATTTTGGTGTTGCGCCATGGCCTCCAACCTAGTAGCCATGGTCTCCAACCTAATAGCAATGGCCTCCATCCAGTGTCAACGTCCGTCTGCAACTTCTTTCTTTGGTAGTATCCTTGGTATTCTGGGTATGTCTGTGTGTGTGGCTTTCACTGCGACCTGTGACACTTCCAAAACACCACGTCACCTCAAGATTTACGTGCCTGTTCTGTTTTTGAACTTCGCATCTTTTGTTCAATCTTCTTATCTATCTTTCAGCTGATTGGAAGCTTCAGGTTCATCTGAGTTTATCTACAACTTCTGAGTTCTTCTAAGTTGGCACTCTTTCCAAGATGCGTTTCCGCTTTTTGAGTGGCGAACATGCCTCTTTCCAAAAGCTCACGGCGTCGAAGGACATTTGTTCCACTCGTCCACCAAGGTCCGTCCAGTCGTCCCCCCTTCCCGCTTTCGTCGCTTGTCATGGGTTCCAGTCACTACAGGTCACCAGGCATTTCTGACAATGAGAGAGAGAGCTTTGAAGCGAGCGAAGGGAAGGATAGGTCGGATAGGGAAAAGTTCGAAAGACAAAACAAGTAGTATACAGGGTTGAAAAGAGAGGAGGAAGAGGACAGAACACTAAATTTGTTTATCAATTCTTTGTCAATGCCCAAGCACTGTTGACAAACTTAGAAAGAGTGTGGGAAGAAGAAAGACGAAAAGGGTAAGAGCGGTGGATGATGTCAAAAAGTTGCGATTTGGGGTCTTGGTGATGTCGAGGATGCTCAGCTTGATGGCTTGCATCATTTGCGTTTTGAGTGCACTTGTGGGTTGATGGATGGGTGGAGGGATGGATGGATAGAAGGGGACAGAGAGACAGAGAGACCGAAGAGATAGGGAGATAGATAGAGCTACAATGTGGCTTGATGTTAAACGATGATAAGTAGATGTGGATAGATGGATGTGGGTAGAGTGCAGACAGGCCCATGCGAGGTAGAGATATAGCGAGATTGAGAAGGAGAGCTACTAGTAGCGGCCTTGCTCCTAGTAGTACGGCCCGGAGCCCCTAGTAGCTTCTTGTTCTTAGTAGCTTCATATGGAAGCGACCCCGAGGGGCGCGTTCTTTTTAGCCTGACAACCACAAAAAGGTCGCGTGTTTTAGGGAGATCGGGATGGGCCGTGCCACTACCGGACTCAAAGCTCGTCGCGCTATAGGGAGATCGTGGGATGGGAGAGCTAGAGAATGGGAAAGAATCGCAATATAGAAACTTTTTCGGCGGTTGCTTGCTGGCCCTGGCATTCGTCTCATCCCTTTTTAGGCTTGTTGGTTTAGCCAACTTCGCCCCTTCATCTAGTTAGAGGGCATCTAAGGTCGAAAGGCGAATTCCAAATGGGGAGCCCGGTGATGGCTGGATAGTACTACATCCTCATGACATTGTGTAATGGCGAACAGATTTTAACGAGTGGAAGGGAACCCCAGCAAACTTCCTATGTATGAGGAAATGCTGGTCGAGTTGTCAAGGATGAGGCTTCAACAAATCATTGAGCTATCAGCTATAGGTCAAAACCCTACGAAAGAATATAATGTGTTTGTCCACTATGTTAATGTTACATGTTTGTTAGAGTTGCACGGCGTCCCCACGCTTCGGCGCTAAACCCACTTGCGGGTGAGGGTCGACAGAACACCACACACATGCCCAGATCTCACAAGTCACCACAGCCAGGGCGAGCGAGCAAAATCGCATTAGATCAAACAAGTCATGAGCCATCACCAAGCACAACAAATCAGGAGAAATCACAAAGGACACCAACAAAATCACCCAACAAGACGCGCACACACTTGAGATTTTGTTTACGGACACTGATGCGGTTTGCCACACGCCCACCTAGGTATGAACGCCTAAGAGTACCAAAAGTACCAAGAAAACTCCAGAGTTCACGAAGTCGAATTGAAGGTCACGACAGGTTGACGGTGTACGTGCACATCTACCAATGAAGAACCGCTGCAATGGCTGGAAAATTGTTCTAGATACAACAGGGCCCAAAAGGAAATGAACGTTGATCGCTGCAGGTACGCAATGTGGCGTCCCTCATTGCTTCACCACGAACTGACAGCGTCTTCGTTGGACGGTGTCTGTCAGTCGTGCACTGCCCCCCTGCTATAAACGGAAAACAACACAAATTCGAAGGAATCCCTGTGACTCCAAGGGTTACACACACAGATCGAAGGGCATTTCCATTAAAGACACCACCGTAGCTAACCAGCTGCCAATGTCTTTGGGGAGACATGGTGCTGTGTTTATAAAGGCCTTGACAAGTCATGTCCTTTCACAGTGCTGTGAAGCAGGCTCGTTCGGTGCTTGGTCGACTTTCACTGTATTCATTGCTCGGCTTGACAAGGCAGAGATGGACGTTGCTGCTCTTCGTCAAGAGGCTGGAATAGTCATCCATTATATCCTTAGACTCGGCACTTCACTGCGAATAGACCAAGCAGACAACGCTATGAAGTGGCATCCGATATATACTCTAAATACACAAATAAATAGATGCACACATCAAGAAATAGAATTACTTTACTTCGAGTGACCCCCACCATGACATGTCAATCGTTTGTTTTCATGTCATGGTGGGAAACGAACAGTCAAACACAGTGACTCACGCAGCGGTAGTGTGCGTGTGGTTGTGTGTTTGTGATTGTCTTTGTTGGTTGTGTATTGTGTTGGTGTTTGTGGTTGTGTTTTGTGCTTGCGCATGTGGTTGTGTTTTGTTGGTTGTGTATTGTGTGTTGTATGTTTGTGGTTGTGTGTTGTGATTGTGTTTGTGGTTGTGTGTTTGTGATTGTGTTTATATGTGCTTGTGGCTTTGTGTTTGTGGTTTTGTGTTGGTAATTGTGCGTGTAATTGTGCTTGTGGCTTTGTGTTTGTGATTGTGTCTGTAATTGTGTTTCTGATTTTGCTTGTAATTGTGTTTGTGATCGTGCTTTGCAATTGTGTTTGTGGGGTTGTGTTTGTGATTGTGTGTGTACTTTTGTTTGTGTTTTTTCTGTTAATTTTGTTTGTTTTGTAGTGTGTGTTGTGTGTTTGTCGTTATGATTTTTGGTTGTGTGTTGTGTGTTGAGGTCCGGCAGTGCACACTGCGATCTCGCGCTTGCGGTTGAGGTCCGGTAGTGCCCATTGCGATCTGCCACTTGCTCTAACTTGCTGGCGAGGAGGAGGAGAAGAGGAGAGGAGAGGAGGAGAAGAGTTTGAGAACACCTAACAACCCTCACCTGGCAGGTGGGGAAAAATATAGAAAAATAACACACGTAAACTCATATATGCATGCAGCGTACACATTCACGAGAGCATCATATGACACGGCTTTGGTAATGCTTTTGTCAGCCGTGTTCCACAGGCCAAGCAAAAGTTGTTGGCAGCTGCCCAAGATGGACGCTTGGCAGCTGCTTTCAAATCCAAGGCGCGCAGACTGGGCCGCGCCATGCCACTTGTACAACAACTCTTGTATCCGTTTGCATGTTCCTGGAGGCTGAAGCGGTTGAAGTGGAGCCACAAGAACCTGATGTGGAGTCGCTGCGCCGCGAGGTCATTCGATTAGCGATCCATGTCGTTCTTTTTTCACGTGTGCTATGAACCGTAAGGCTCGGGATACACTCCTCAAAGCGGCTCGCGATGGTCGATTGGCATCAGCCTTCAGCGATATGCGGAAGGCAGCAGAAGTTAGCAGCGAAAAATGTGTGGCGAAGGGAGCTGCCTGTCATTTTGAGGGAAAATTGAACATTACTCAGTGCTTGGCCAAAGTTGCAAGCTTAAGCTTGCAGTGCAGATATGCTATTGACGAAGGACACTCATGTGAAAAGCTTGGCTGGCAGAAGGGTTGAAATTGAAACCACAAGATTGTTCAAGATCAAGAAAATAGAATATTTTTCTCAAAGATTTCTGGAGAGCATTTTGCAGT